AAGAAGAAAGAAGAAAGAAAGAAAGAAAGAAAGAAAGAAAGAAAGAAAGAAAGAAAGAAAGAAAGAAAGAAAGAAGAAAGAAGAAGAAGAAGAAGAAAGAAGAAAGGAAGAAAGAAAGAAAGAAAGAAAGAAAGAAAGAAAGAAAGAAAGAAAGAAAGAAAGAAAGAAAGAAAGAAAGAAAGAAAGAAAGAAAGGAAACAAACAAGAAGATCTTCCACTATACACTTGCCAAAATGGTTAAAAATAAAAAGACTGACAATATCAAGTGTTAGCAAGGACATGGAGCAGTTGGAACTCTCTGACATTGCTGAGGGGAACGCAAAATGGTATAGCCACTTTGTAAAAACAGTTTGGTAGTTTTTTATGAAGTTGAACATTCACTTACTATTTACCCAGCAATCTAGCTCCTGGGTATTCATCCAAAATAAATGAAAACATGTTCACATAAAATCTGTACATCAATGTCCATTGCAGCTTTATTCATAATAACGAAAACAAAACAAAACAAAACAAAACAAAACAGAAAAAAACTGGAGACAGCCCAAATGCCCATCAGTAGTTGAATATTTTTCATGTAGTTTGTTCATACAATGTAATACCATTCAATAAAAAGAAATAAACTATTGAGAGTGCAGCAACATGGATGAAAAAAAGTGTTATTCCAATTGAAAAAAATCACACTGTATGATTTCATTTATATGAAATTACAGAAATGGCAAAGTTTACGGTAATATAAAGCAGACTGATGGTTGCCTAAGGTTGGGATGGGTCATGGGGAGCATTACCTGCAAAGGGGCACTGGGAAATTTGGGGGATGATAGAAAGTTCTGTATCTTGAGTGGTTACTTAATTATATACAGTTGTCAAATCTCATTGAACTGTACACTAAAAATGGGAATACTTCAAGACATATAGATTAAATTACATATAGGTTACTTTATTATATATGGATTACAGCCCAATAAAGTTGACTTATGAAAAATGAAAGAGAAAAATTTTAAAGGTAAAAACACCGTAATCCCAGTTTATTTATAAAGATGCTTAGAAGGAGTGTGGAAAGATATGTGCCAGTAATAAACCCTAAATAGTAATAATTCAGATGGCAATTATTTCTTCTTTATATTTTTCTATATTTTTTCATATTTTTAGAGATCATTTTTATGCTTATAATCAGAAAAAAAAAGGTTTTGTTTGTTAAATGAAAGAAACATTGTTTTGTGGGAATGAGAATAAATATTGTTCTCCCAAGGCAAGAGCAGGATTAGTTTTGTTCCACATGTAACTTAAGATTATGTTCAACCTGGTGGGAGGCAGGTGGGTAGGGGTGGGTAATAGCTCAGTGCTAGAGTGCCTGCTTAACATGCATAAAGTCCTGGGTTCAATCCCCAGTACCTCTGTTAAAAAAAAGAAAATCATGTTCAGCCAAAGGTTGAATTATCTTTTTAATTTTAACCTTCCAACTGGACTCTCACACACCTGGGTCAGGCCCTACCTCACAGATACACACCACTCTCATACCTGGAACTCAAGCAGAAGAAACACTGCTGATCCCAGGACAAGAAAACCTAACCCAGAAAAGGGAGAGGAAGGAACTGGACTTCCCAGAATATCCTGGGTGTTCCCAAGATTTGCCACAGGGATCCCTTCCATTCAGAACCA